CTTACGATATGGTCGGCAGCGGAAGTCTACGCTCTGGAAAATTATGTAGTAGGGAACGTGCGGTCCTTCAAAGAAGACGACTGCCGCGCTCGATTGACCTAGCATTCGGGCGTGAAGAACTGTGTATCTTGCTGGTGCGCGAATTCCAGCCATGAGTTCTGCGGTGCTCGTACCGGGTATCAAGCCACTGATGACGCCTCAGGAGACATCGTCCGGTGTTCTGATGTTGCCGTTCACAGTGTAAAAATGTCCTCCAAGCTGTATTTTCTGGATGTTTACCAGCTTCTTGGCGTCTTCTTTGGCGGCGGTGCTTGCGATGATTAGGTTTTCATTCTCTGGACTTGTACGCGTACCTTGTCGTTAAAGTCTTGCTGTGATAGTCCACTCACTCTGCCGATGGCATGCGTGACAGCGACGGTGTTCCATTTGGCGAGATCAAGATCTGCTTGCGGGCGGTACACGATCTTAAAGTCATCGAGCGGCAGAGGTGGCATCTTGGGCCTGCGTTATTGCTGCGTCGGTGATGACTTTAGCGTATGCTCATTGATAGGTGGCTGCTCTGTGGGTTGGTAGGCCGGTGTCCTTAGATTGGCGACAGCCTTCTTGTGTTTCTTATTTCTCGTGATCCAAGCGCTTTCCGTTGCAATTGCTCTGCCACTGCCAGCGTCATAGGTCCACGTATTCTCTGTTGTTTTGTTTGCCTCCACTGGGTCAGTTTGCATTGTATTTTCTTCGCATTTCTCTTGCTGCGGCTGCGTCTCGGCTCATTTCAAGCTTTTCGCCACGGCGAGCGCGAGCGCTTGTGCCGTACCGTCAGGAACGCCTGAGCGCGTTGTGCACGCGCCGCGCAGCTTTGCTCAGGAACGAACTTGGTGTTAGGCTTAATAAACTGGACGCGCGCTTGTCGGGAATTAAGTCTTATATCTTGAGATAGGATGCACTCACCCAAAAGAAGCTAGTGTCCGCCTATTCCTCGTGTCTTGGCGGCTGAGGCTGTGAAACTCTTGGGTTCGTCACTGACCTTGTTTCGGGTTAAAAAGCACGAAAAGCAGGAGCCCATGCGAGACGCGTCTGGTCTATACGGCCCCCTAGCGGTCATCTTCCCCATGCAAGAAGGAAATTTATTTTTTTTTCAGCAAAAGTGTACTTGGCAGAGACTTCTACGTTCTGGATTCACGGTAACGTTTTTAGGCATCATAAACGAGTGTTCTACACCACATATACTGGGTAAATCTCACTACTTACCGTTAGTTCACTAAAATTGTTAATAAACCAGTTGGTCAATGGTTAGACCAACAAACGTGTGTGCGACAATAACGTGCGCTGCCTATTGGAAAACTATCGTCGTCACTAACGCGTATGTGGCACAGAAATTGAGTAAATTTCACTGCACACAACTTCCACTAAAAAGGGAGAAAGCAGCATTTAACCGAGCGTATGGCGTGCGTATTATCATGGTCACAACACTCTCACGACACACAATGCGGTTACAAAAGGTGAGGGTTTTCCTGCCACCCCAGTGCTGTGATACAACATATCAAAGCATTTTTATTGAAGGTCTCCTTCAACTTGTTACAAATGGTGATTTTAAGGTGCAAAAAAAAAAGCTATATCACCTCCGGAGAGCCTCAAAAAGGGTGTTCAATAAAGAGCGTTGATTTTATGTGTGGGGTTTAACGTCCCAAAACCACCATATGATTATGAGAGACGCACTCCGCCGCGGTGGTCTAGTGGCTAAGGTACTCGGCTGCTGACCCGCAGGTCGCGGGTTCAAATCCCGGCTGCGGCGACTGCATTTCCGATGCAGGCGGAAATGTTGTAGGCCCATAGGAATGCGATAGCCTGACGAAGGGAACCCCACCAACTTACCTATTTCATCGTTGTCGGAGAAGTGGAGCTGATTTAGTTTCGCACGAAAAGCTAGCTTTTTTCAGAGGAACAATCCGGTGGTGAGATGACGCGGATTCGCATCACCATACCTGATGCCTAAAGAGGCTGCTGTTTTCATCTGCGAACACTTCAATGTTTCTCCCTAGGCTCAAGCCACATGTGAATATGAGTACATCTGTTAGTGTAATATCCGAACCTCCGTCCACTTGACGGCCATACGACTGAAAAGTTTCCAGTCTGTTTTAAACTTTCTATAAAAGATCTTTCAAAGGTGGTTGTTTTGTATAAAAATGTTCATTGTGGAGTTATAAGCACGATGCCATGGTGCGCTATCGGGCGTAGCCTGGTAGTCGAAGCTGCTTCCAAAAAAGCTCCAGTTTGGGCTATGAGGTAGCAGAGGTTCGTGTGAAGTGGTGGTCATATGTCTTCACCACGTCACGAAAGGAGTTATGCGATTGGTTTCAAACTCTAAGATGAATCCTGACACCTGAAAATTCTATTGTTTTTCAGGACGTCCAAAAGTATTCACCAGGAATCTGTGTAAGTGTACTAGAGTTCTAGAGCTTCCTGAATGTTGCTGAAGTGTCGGTCCACCGACTTTAAAAAGAAATAGTTTGCACTGCAAATTTTATTTCTATGTGCTTCGTGTTCAGACTTGTGCGCACAGAGAGAGAAAATAAAATGAGGGAAAGGCAGGGATGTTAACCAGAAATAGGGACATCCTGTTCGCTACACTGCACTAAGGGAAGAGAGAATGGGGAACAAAGATGGTTAAGAAAGCGAAGAGCGATGTAGACGCGCGAAAAAGAAAACAAAAAAGTGAGCTGGGGTGTTATAGCCTATTCAATACACGACTACCACGCAAAAAGTTCAATAAGGCGTTCACTGATTTTCTGTGCGAAGACAGATTATGTCGTCTTTCAAGCACTGACTGTTCTGATAAGGGTCTCTCGTCAAGACGAGCTAACGCAGCAGCTAGCTGCCGTCTTTGCACGCTGTAACGAGGGCAGTGACAGAGAACGTGCACTATCGTTCCATCGCTGCCGCAATGGTCGCAAGCAGCACTGTCTTCCATGCCGATTCGGAAGGCGAAAGCTTTGCGGAAAGCGACACCAAGCCACAGTCGGCAAAGCACCATTGTCTCAAGTCGAGATAGTCCGGATGAAGGCCGAAGTCCACAAGACGTGTCCAGATTACGCAGTCGCGTGTGCCATTAGCACTCAGAGTTCCACTGCAATTTTACTTCTGCATTAGTGATTTTCCGTATTTTCATTGCAGCATCAGTCCTTTAAAGTGGAATTAATTGTTCTTCACCATCTTCGTGTGCTGATCGAGCAGCTGCATCGGCATGTTCGTTGCCCAATATGCCGCAGTAACGTGGAAGCCACTGAAACGTGATTTCGTGTCCTTCGTCAAAGAGGCGGTGAAGTAACTCTCTAATTTCCAACACAAGTTGTTCATGAGGTCCCGGCGTAAGGCGAACACCAATCACTGCAGTGCTGCTTTGGAGTCCTTGAACATGCTCCATTTCTTGGCTTCTTGGTGTTTATTGACTTTAACTGCGCTACGTAGAGCAGCAAGTTCCGCAGCTGTCGATGACGTCTGGTGAAATAACCGAATCTTCGTCGTTGTCGCTGTTGCAGGAAAGATCACCGACCCTGCATACTCATCTACTTTAGTACACGCGTCAGTATATAAATGGTCATGCTCACTGTACTTCTCATACAACAAGAGAAGAAAGGGCTGCTTTAGCGCTGGAAATGAGAGCCGCGATTTTGACCGTATGCCTTAAACCGTGAGTTCAACATGTGGATTAGTCATACACCATAGGGGAGTTGCAATTCTGGACGGAGTTGTGTATCCCGTGGATATGCGTGTACGATATGTCAAGACTGTCTTACAAAATGAGGCACGAGGATGGTCTTCTGGCAGTGAGGCTAGATGACGGCCAGGGGCGCGAGTATAATGCCTCACGTGTGCTCTGAGCACTTCCATTACAATATTCGTATTGAGCGGGTAGTCATTTGCTATCGCAATTAGCTCAGCTGAGACTTGTGCGCGAATTGAGGTTGTACTATTATGTGTTCAGACTAATGAAACACAGTGTGTTTGCTGCCATCTAATAGTGCTGCGTAGTACAGCAAGAAAAACAAAACAAAAGGTTTTGTTGAAATAATCAACTGTATTCCACTATGCTGATGGTCACAATATACAGTAGCGGAGTAACTGGTTTATTTCCCAATTTTTTAATGGGTGCATTCGTGAGGCAAGAGAGCGTGCTTTGAACAAACAGTGGTCAGATGGGTCGTCACAAAAATGTCGCCAGCAGCGAACGGTGGTACCCAAGCGTCTTCCACATTTCTCTACATAAGACATCTTCAAACTCTTTCTGTACAATGATTACAAAGAACACCTAAATATACAAAAGGAGAATCTTCGTTAATATAAACGACAGAGCTTTCTTTTTTATCAGGGCCATATTGTTCTTTGTGTTTTTTGAGACTAGTAAGCCGCGCAACAAACCCTATTCGTTATAAAATCAGGGAATGTTTCTTTGCTGTCAGCAACCTATACGCTTAAAGTGCGACTGCCGACCCTTTTATGGAAACCAATTCACCTGCATTCATTTCACCTGTAATATTGAGGGATTAATAAAGACAAGTTACGTATTACGCGTATCATGACAGATGTGTTTTAGTAACAGTAAGTTAAGGGTTTTACGTTCCCAAGTCACGATAGTTGTGATCGACCACCTGGGGTTCTTTAAATGACCCCTTAGTTTTGTACATGGGCCTTTATAGAATTTTTGGTGCAATGGTCGAGATTAAATCCTGCGACCTTCAAAGGCAATTCTTACCAAGGGCACCTCACGTATGAATGTTTGATCATTTGAGCAACTCATACACCACACACAAAAGCGTGCTTTCCGAGAAACACAAACACAGAAGTTAACCCCCCTCGTGCACAAGTTAGCAATAGTTTTACGTTTGACCAAAGCTATAATTATATGTTTTATTAGCATTCCATGGTGTCCCGAAACACGATGATATGCAATGCATTCCCTCTTCACGCAGGCGTCGGAATCGACTCGCATAGAGCTATGCAGGTGACTACTCCTTTTCGACGCCCCACTTCATCATCGGTCCGAGTATGGGATACTTTTTATACTTGTCCGAGGCGAAGTGCTCTTCGATGTTGGGCAGCTCTTCGAAGTGCTTCATGTAAGACGTTCGCGCGGGGAAGCCTTCAAATGCACCTCCGTTCAGCTCGCGGTTCCAGTCGAGCCCCTCGTACAGCAGGAAGTCTACGTATGTGACGCGATCCCCGATCGCCCATTCTTTGTCTTGCAGGTGTTCGTCCCAGGGTTGCAGAAGGCTCTCCATCTTCTCTTCGTACTTGGGTCGTGTCTCCTCGTAGCTCGGTTGCGCGACGGCCATCAGCAGAACCCAGCTCAAGTCCCGAGCTTGCTGTTCTAGCATGTCTAGTTCCAGAGTCTCCTCTTCGTCCCTTGGGAAAGAAAGATCGTAATGCATTATTGATTAACAGTGAATTCGAATTTATGGAAGGTTGTTTTATTAATTTTCAAGAAGGAAGGGGCAATTACTCGCACTCATCCTGTGTGACGTTATTAGCAAACGAACCTCTTGAACCTCTTATAGTTAGTATCGAAGTTCTTGGCAATTAATGTACGCACAAAAATGCTGAAAATACCTTTAATGGAGAACATTTATTGCTGTATTGCGAACACCACAGCAGAGGTGGACTTGTTTTTTCTTTACCATTTTTATAATATTCTTAGATAGCCCATAGTGACGATGGACGTGTCCCATTTGTCGTTTCACCGCCCAGATTTGTTGAAAAATATTCAAGGACGTCATTTGCCATAGTTTTGGACAGCTTTTTTCACTAGGTACGGCAACAGGGACTGGGGACAGTGATAATTCTATCAAGTAATTTCATTATCAACGCTCTTTGACACCCTCACATGACGTGGACACCTTCTCAAATTAGGTCCTTCTCATGTGCTATCTCTGCCCTTACCAGATATAGGTGCAACAAGCAAGCGCACAGAGCCACCAGCTTGGGAAAGTAAATGTTGCTGACGCACTGTTCAAGTTTTGTTTCATGTTTCATTGTGTGACAGCGTAGAGATCAGTGTAGTGACTACTGGCTTTGCCTTGTGAGGTAGCGCACCCTCTAAGCTCGCTCCCCAGCACTGGACCTTTTCTGCCTTTCCTCGGTTCATTGATGCGAAATTGTTTAACGCGGAACACCACTGCGTATGTTATGATAAGTCTTTGACAAAATGGCTCCAGCGAGACTCTCTGTCCAAATGTGCATCATTACGTCAAGCCTCCATTTTCCCCTAAGCTGCCCATCTTTTCTGGTCTTCTCTCATAGGTTTTGTCTGGAAGGAGAAAAATGGCTGTGGTAATTTCTGTCGTGTCACCAAGAAGAACACCGAAAATCCCGACAAGCGCACTACTAACAGCGTTCATGCTAACTACGTATACCACTAGGCTACAGTGCAATAAAGAACGACAATTCGAAGATGCCCTTCGCAACTTTGGCCATTCAATCAGTTCACTATTCATCTTTTCCCTGTGGTCTTAGAAAATGCAGCTGTTTCTCACTTGGACAACTTCATGCATTCTAAGATACTTCCACACTAATATGAAAGCACTTAGAGGAACGCGCGGGCTGTTTAGGTAGGCTTCATCTAGTTAATCACCGAAAGACCAGTATTTATAAGTGTTAGCCAGCACTATAAACATGCAGTCTTTTCTTCTAGCACATGGTGTGGGTCTTTTTATACACGAGTGTATTTATATACACTAATAGTTTATTTTTGCCGTTGAAGCATTGTGAGTAAGCAGAATGACCAAGCTATAACAGCTAGCGGCTTTGCTTGAAAACATATGCCAGGCGCCCTGAGACTTCCTTTTGGGAGCGTAATTGAATAAATTTACCGATGCCAACGTAGCCGCAACACACCTTAACGAATTCATTTCTCCGATAGGCGTGTAACATGTACCATGATCCTGCAAATGAGCAAACGTCACATGTATCTCACGGAATAACGAGGCACATCACGTGTGCATGCTCAGAAAACCAAGTGAACACAAGGCAGCGGTATTCACCGGCACATTCATTAAATTTAAGACACAAAAAAGTAACATAACTTTCCCTACAATTGACAAAGAGAGAGAGCATTATTTTTAATGGGAAGCTGGTGAGGTTTACCTGGTTTTTCACCTGACAAGCTACTCCAGTTGCCGGGTCATGACAATGATATATACAATGATAAATACACAACACATACAGTTTCATACACGCATAACAGTGTCATAACACATAAAGTCACTTACGCGCACTGCACTATTTACAACGTTTCGTTGTAATTTCCAGTTTTTACCAGAAAATATTCAAGCAAGCCGTGCTCATCGGGAACAAGCAACAGTTTCTACTGAGTACGCTTAAAATACGTTTCCAACCATTTACATACTAAACAGCATATTACTAGAAATATACCGCGTTTACCACGTCTAAGGTGAACATCTCGTAATTGATTCAGCTGGCCAAACTAGAATGCTTATTTTACTTTACGAGAAAACTATCTGTGATATGACATTTAATGACCACATGGACGGTGTTACCCATAATTCCCTGTAATACTTAATAAACAGGAGCTTTATGAGGTCTTAAATACTATAATAAAGTGCACCCTTTGCTTGTGTATGACAGCCTCATACAATGATTCATTGAGGTGAAACCTATCTTTTAGATCGATTAGCCGGCTTCCATGCGGCCTGGTTTCCCATAAGGGTGGAGCTTCCAAACAACAACAACAACAAAACGTGGCTGATCCCTCTTTCTAGGAATCGGTGTAGCTCGAAAGTGAAACGTGTCCTCATAAATGTGGTTGAGCGTTTATTGTGCATCGTTTTGCCACAAGGTTGAATTAACGAGCACTACAGCAACAAATTGCGAAACTACACGAAGAAAGGGAAGCAGCTCAAAACATGCAGCGTGCACCGCAACCTGAAAGCACCCACGAAACGAGGATACACGGGACGAACGTGGACTAACTGTAAAGAGGCACGAAACGGTCGCACAAGTATACACAGGACAAGCGCGAACAGCCGTTACTATTTTCTTCGTGTGCTAGCAGCGCGCTTCTTTCGTAAACGCGGCCGCGGCAGTGAGTGAAGTGACCTTTCTGCCCTCCCGAATCACGCGTCTGATAAGGGCGCGCGCAAGAGGGACCGTATCCAAGAACATTGGGAGAGATCACGCTCCCTGTAGGCAGCGCTCAACAAAACGCGTGCTCAACGCATGCAGGTCGCGCCATCTTGTTGCTAATGAAGAAAACGCGCGGACATTACATAGCTTTGAAAGCCGCCAAATGGCGTATGAGGTATATAAATGGTTTGCCGTTAGCACACTTGGCAACGCTGCGCGCTGAGGACAGGGAGGTCGCTGGTTAGATGCCCCGCTACACAATTTTTTTTCTTGTCTGTTTCTTTGCGATCATTTTGTATATACTTTGCAACATTATATCGACGACGGAAATGCGTAAGCCGAGCCATTGTGGACCACGGCATGAAACACTTTCGTGTTAAAATACTAGGACTTACGTAGCTGTTAGCTCGTGCTTGCGCGCCAGGTAGCGCAATATGGCCAGGCTCTGCGTGATCTTGACGTCATCGTCTAGGTAGTAAGGCAGGTTCGGAAACCTGAGGCCAAGCGTGGGCTTCTCGCTCAGCCACTCTTCACCGTCGAAGTCGGGTTCCGGACCAAACACGTAGCGTTTGTCTTCGAACTCGACGCCCTGGTACACCAGGAGATTCCTGATGGGCTGCGCAAGTCCTCGAATGTCCCAGTAGCCAAGAATGGACGTCATCTCTTCATCGCATGTATTTATAAAAACAGCCATGAATTGCAGCACAATATTTTGGGACATCATTTTCAGGATCCCTCAAACACCCTCTTTTGAAGGATCGAAAACGCTTTGAAACGACGAAATTGTCTCGGGAAATATATTACTGAAATAGTTATCCTAAAAGGTTCCTACAAAACTATCTTGAGCATGGTCATAAAGCTTAGTCGATTGGTAGTCAGTGTTTCTGAGAGCATGTGAGCTAAACATTACAGCGCCAGAAGAAGTCGGGAATTTACAATTACTTCTTGAAATCAGCTGGAAATTGCTCGCTCTTCTGCCTACAATTAGAGTCGTAAGCCGGAATGACCCTGCCATAAGCCCAATGTCCATGACCATTGGCCGATTCGAGCATTGTCAGCAGCATAACTACCACGTCCGATGTGAGGTGGCGCAACGAGTCCCCGCGCTCAGTCGCTCATTCCACTGAAAGTGCGCCACGCGTTTGAACAAAAATAGTCTTGAAGGCCTTGACGCGCATGTTACATGACTTCTTTTCCCGTGATACTTATTCCTCTCTTATCAGCTTTCAGCGCGATCGTCGGCATGTGAGAAGAAAGAAAGCAACTAGAGCGGGCTGCGAATCACTGTGCATGCACCCGATGAATTCTAAAAAAAATTGTGGCAGTAGATTCGTCAGGCAATTAACTCAATTAATGAAGCCGTTTGAAGATTGCTTGCACAAATGTTGAAGGCCTTCTTTAATGACCTAGCGGGAGTGGAGGTATTACAAGCCTTCCTCCATCCTTATTAAAATTCCCTTCCTCCTCGCAGGGCATGTTATTGTTGTTGAATGGGGGCCGTTGTTCGTGAGCAGACCAGTGAGTTTCTTTCGTACTTTTTTGTACTTTTTATTGGAATTAAAAGCGCGGACGTTTCTATACTGCAGCCTGTTTAGTTGGCTACTTTCGAAATAAAATTCCGTTCTGGACAGTGAGTGTCCATCAGTGAATTAGATCAGCAGTCAGTAAAAGCATTCGTGGGATGGGCACAATAATGTATTAGCCGCCTGCAAAAGAGGGCAGTCCGGATTATTACATACTCAAACAGGACGGATACTGCAAAACCACTGTTTCAAATGATGCGTGTACTTCCGCTGGACTCTGTTCACGTGTCTAGTGTTGCTGATATAGTGCATGGAATAATAAAACGTGATGACACATTCCCATTAAGCACCTTTACGTTACTCGCGCGCTGTACAAGAGCTGCAGCGAATCACTGTTTTAATTTACCAGTAGCCAGAAATGCCTACGGTCGAAGGCTCATAGAATTTCACGCAGCTCTCATATGGAATACGATACCGACTGATGTGAAAGATGCTAGAAATTTTCCATTGGCCATGAAGCATGCACTTCATGTGAACTTTCTAAATAATACGTCTGCATAGTCATTTAGTATTATTATCATTATTATTGTGATTAGTATTATTCTAGTGCTATTATTATTCTGTGCTATAAGTATAGCTATGTTCTGCGCTATGTTTCTATGTATAGTTCAATCATATGTTTTTGCTTTTTTTCTATTTTAAACATTGTATCCAGGTTGATGTCCTTTGTCGCTGTGTAACCGCTTGCGCAAGTATGTAGGTATGTCACACAATTGGTCCCTCTACTAGCCAGTTAGGCTATGGGACCAAACAAGTGTTTGCGAAGTTTTTTGTTACAAGGATGTGAAAGTTACAATAAAAAAAATTCCACAAAAGATCACCATGCTGCAAAAAAAAAAATTCGTCTATTGTTACGCAGGCGGCTACGGCGTACAGGGAGTATAACGTGCTCAGTGACTGAACATGGCTTCACGTGTGAAAAAAAAAGAACTTTCGAAAATCCCGGTCACCCTGAAGAGTTCCGTGTTATAAAAAGAACGTTCGTGCTGCTTTGGTTAACTCATGGTCTAAATAAATAACCAAGTTAACCTGACCTCATTTGCCCTATTTCTCTGTTACATTAACCGTAAGGGGAATTTTCGTTTTCGATCGATTGCAACTGAAAGCGCTCACTACGCAATTCAATAACTCTGATTTGGTTGTCTGTAACATCAATAATTTTAGTACCGCGAATATACTATTATTGTGATCACGCTAGCAAAGATGTTTTGAGCTCTTTTACGCACAACTTCGCACAGTCCCAGTGGCTGCGTTCGCATGGACGTGTTATCCAAGAGCAGCCGTGCACCGTTCATGCATTATATAGACTTTGGTCGTCTTAACAGTCCTGGTGTAGTGAAAAGGGCGTGCTTGATATTAACAAACTGTTTCCTGTGCGTGAATTTCTATAAATATTTCTAAAGGTTAGTGATGCAAGTTAAAAAAATCACCGCCATATCCGCAAAGTGATTGATGTGAGAGGAGCTTGCTCGAAGGTGTATGTGGCGTTTTTTGGCGAGACCATTTCACTAGAAAGGTTTCTTAACTAGCCGGACATTAATGTGTATACGGCAAAGGCAGCGTTGTTTGGCCCGTTCCACGGCTGGCCCCGCACCATGTTGGCCACGTAGATGTGCACGTTAACCACGTTCCAATTTGTACCATAATGGCCATTGCCGTGAGTCATATGTTTAACGCTCATAAATGGAAGACGTGGAGCTATCAGGCGTTCTTCAACGGGTTTGATAGAAGGCAGGTGAGGCGGCTTGGGAGGATATCAGTACCCGTGCGTAACAGGGCCATCTCCCACTCATTTCAGTAGAGATGGTTGGTAGTAGAGAATGACTGGGAAGCGGCCCTGTCCAGCCAGACCGGGGCGTCTAAAAGGCCCTAGTGGCCCAGGCTAAGACCGGGGCGCAAGGCAATGGGGCCCTAGATTAGGAACTCCACTCAATGCTTAATAGATTCAATAAAGTTTTTCATCATCAACATCACCGTAGGAACTTGTCACGTGCTGCTATGCCTACGAAGTGTTGAGAACGAAGTCGACGTAGTCGCGAGGAGGCGAGCGCGCGGGCCATCGAAAACCGACGCCTTGATGGTGGCACGCACTGTAGTGTGCATTGTTGAAATTACCGGAGCAGTTACCTTGAGCGACTACAGAGTTTCCTTATAGTAACTAGATGGGACTCTGGCGCTGCAATCGTTCAGCGACCATGGGAATGATGGGTATATAGTACACGGATTTGCCTAGTCTTCGTACTTGCGGGCGGGGAATTGCACTTGTGGCTTCGTTTATTGCTGTGTTTCGGTTTTGTTTTGAAGGAAATGATGAACCCTTTAAAAATTCATGACCCGATTTGAAATGGTGAGCCTAAATGAATAAGGTGGCGAAGCACAACCACTGAACATTTGCTTATTTTCATTTCGTGAAAAAACAGCTCGAAGCCACACGAACACATACGGGACCAAAAGTACGAAGATTAGCCAAATCCGTGTACTACCCATCATTACCATGCTCGCTGAAGCGCCATACGTTGCAGCTCCCATAGACGCTAGTGCCAGAGTTTCCTCTAGTGTATGTTTAGGAAACTCTATGTGAGTGATGACCGGAGAATAGTACACTGGCAACACCGGCGCACATGCCGGCAGCCGCCGCCGGGGCAGGGCGTGATAATAGAAGCTTGCCAACCAACCTCCTAAAAATGCAGAACTTCAATTTTTGCCAAGCATCTCTCCTTGATTTTATAGCAAGGAGTTGACCATGTCACTGCGTATAGTGCATTATTTCCCGCTAATATAGCCGCTTAGTTGTGATACCGAAGTACGCAGCAGTCAGACCAGTAAATTTCGAACTCTTTATTGACGAAAGTGTGCTCAGAAAAGGAAGCAACTCTCACAGTAGCACAGTCATCGATCGTTTTCAATAATCTGACATTAAGTAAACCCCACCCATGTTTAGGCAGTCGTTGTCGTATGCACATTCCAGCGTTACTGCTATGTGCGCGACAGTATTTGAATTTACTCATGAACACGCGTTGTGCATGCGATACGAATAGAACATTCAAAAACATTCACAAAGCTTTGAATACATCAAGGCGCAGACTGTGCAAGGCGATAAAACATGTGATTATTTTAAAGAGCAAAGCTATTTGGGCTATCGGTAAGTTGAGTACCGTGTAGCATAACTCCCCGGGTTGTTGCGTGCCACAGGAATCAGGTAGACCCCTCCTCCGAGTACAGCAGGTTCGAGCGTTAATCGATAATTCGGCTCGGCAAAGTGGAGCACGTTAAACATGCCAGAGATAAAGTAAATTAGAGATATGAAGAAAGTGAAAAAAACATAAAAAGAAATTAAGTTATAAAATATAGCGAAATAATGGAAATGAAGCCACAAAGTATATAAAGAAAGAGAAAAGCACAATCATACAGGAAAACAAAGCAAGTAAAGACAGAAAAAGAGGGTAAGTTCGAAAGAAAAAAGATTTCAAAGAGAGGTAGAAAAGGCCGAGAGCAAGATAGAGAAAGAAAGAAAGTGAAGAAAGAGATATAAAGAATAAAAAGTGCAAGAAAATGCGAGGAGCAGAAATACAGGTACACAAAAAAGATAAAATAAACGAAAATAACCAGAAAGAAATAAAGATAAAGAAACAAAAGTATGAAGCAGAGCAAAGAAGGCCACGCAGCTACACTCTTCTTTCAGGCTCGGGACCATGCACTACTGCGAAGGGGTCATGACTATTTTGATGGCGAATGCCACTGAGTGAGAAATATAATTAGACCTCAATGCCAGTATCAACATACCGCTCGGTCGCCTTGCATATGAAAGCGTCTTAGTAATAACTGCACACACCTATGTCAATTAATATCAAAGTGGACGTTCTTTGGCATATACGCTTCGATCGTATGGCGATAGTCGCCACAAATAGCGCCGAAATTGATTCTAATCGATTATTGTTCACCGAATGTCACCGCTTGTAGCTATGAAATAATCAACACGGAATCAATTATTGCACAGCGCTTGTATCTTGTGAAAGTGGAACGTTGAGGGAAGCAAGTAACGTGTAAGGAAATCCGTATAGTTACATTGGTCCACTCA